AAAAAAAAAAAAAAAAAAAGAAGCCTCAGCTCTGGGGACAGGAAGGCAAGCTGGCCTTCTAGAACACCTAGTGTGAAGGGCCCGGCCTCCTTACCCCACTACCCCACATGGTGGCTGTCATGCAGGGAGGTTGTTTGGAGGGTCAGCAGTGGGTAGAGGGCACACAGAAAGAAGCTGGGATCAGACAGACCTAAAGTCCAAGTCTAGCCTCTTCATGGATCGTGTGTGTGTGTGTGTGTGTGTGTATGTGTGTGTGTGCGTGTGTCTGTGTGTGTGTGTGTTTAAATGGAAATAAGAATCTCATGGACTTTCCTGTCCAGGGTGGCTTCAGATCACCAACGTCAGATCTCAGGCTTCTGGGTTGCTAGGAGTATAGGCATGAGCCACTAACGCCGCCTTGGCTCCCCCTGGATCTTAAATAAGCTCAGCCTCTGTCTATCAGTCAGAGCGGCCTGAGGCCCTGCTGAGACTTCTTCCATGTATAAAGTCTTTTCTGATGGGAAAGTTGGGGCCCAGGGTGCACAGCCGCCAACCCAGGCCCAGGCTGGGAGTCTCTCCCAACTGGGGAGTATGTCCTTGGGAAGGCAGCCCCCACAGCAGCCTTCTCTGGCTGCTGAGGCCTTACCTTCATCATAGTGTCTCCGGGCCTCGGTGCCTGGCTCGGCCCTGGGCACACCCTGGTACAGCCCCTCACCCACGAAGTCCGTGTAAAACAGTGTGAAGGTCATGAGCGCCATCCAGCTGCACAGCTCGGCCACGAAGAGCCGGCGCAGGGTACGAGGCATGCGGCAGCAGAGCTGGTGTAGGCGGGGAAACAGGGCACCCAGGTTCCGGAAAGCCAGGCGGGCACGGCACGGGCAGCAATGGGGTAACGCCGAGGGGGCTGACAGCCCTTCTGCAGGCTCGGGTGGACCCAGCACGGCCTCCTCCGCCACAAACAGAGTGGCCACCATGCAGGTGAGGAAGATGAGTGTAAGCAAGCCAAAGAGACACTCTTCCTGGGTGCCTAGGTAGGGGGCCAGGACGCTGGCATCCCAGTCAATGGCGGGCAAGAGGTAGCCCAGGCAGCCCCCGAGGCTGATCATGAAGGCATAGACGGAGAAGGCCTGGCGACAGTGGTCCGGGTCTCGGAAAAGGTCAGAGAGCAGCGCCTCCAGTGGGGTGAAGCACACCTGCCCACAGAAGTCCAGCAGCCCCACACCCACGATCAACAGGGCCAATTCCAGGGGTCTGGTGTCTGGGCACAGCAGCCCTGCCAGCCGGCCAGCCCTTGGGATGAGAAAGAGGCTCAGCAGGACACCCAGGGACAGGGCCCAGATGAAGGGTCTCCGGCGGCCGTAGCGTCCACGCCATTGGTCACTGGCTGAGCCCAGGAGCGGGACAGAGACCAAACCCAGCACAGGACCGATGCCTGAAAGACAGACAACAGCATGTCAACGGCTGGGTCGAAGCCTGGCTCCCTGGGAAGGACGCCAGTGGTAATTCACGCGATGGGCCAGCTCTGAACTACAGACGTTTGCCTCTGGTCTTTATGGGGGCTCTCCCGTTTTCTCCTCACAGCACAACTATTGTAAATGCCCTATATTCAGCCAGGGAAACTGAGGCACGACTATCTGAGAGGTGGCACTTATACAAAAGCTCAGAGATGGGGAGAGCAAGGGGCAAGGCTTCAGCAGGCAGCTGGACTCCAGACCTGGACGGAAGGGGTGTCACAATGGTGATCACTTGCCTTCTGTGACTTCTTTTGTCAGTCCTGGGGCTTGAACCCAGGGCCTGGGTGCTGTTCCTGAGCTCTTTTGCTCAAGGCTAGCGCTCAACCACTTTCAGCCAGAGCTCCACTTTCCGTTTTCTGGTGGGTAATTGAAGATAAGAGTCTCACAGACTTTCCAGCCTGGGCTGGCATCGAACCATGATCCTCAGATCTCAGCCTCCAGAGTAGCTAGGATTACAAGTGTGAGCCACCAGCGCCTGGCCTTTCTGTGACTTTGGCAGAATTCATCGACAGCATCAGGAATCCACAACCTGTCTTGTCCCAGGACTGAAGAGCCCTGGCTGGTAGAGCCTGATGGAGTCCCAGCCCTGCTAAAGCTCTGAGCAGGATTACAACCTGGACTCATCTCCTAGGCCCCTTGTGCCTTTTCTATACAACGCATAAGTCCAACACGCTGGGGTGAAAAGTAGAGATCAAAGCTGTTACCACGCGCCTGCCCCACCAAGCTGGAGGCCAACAGGTAGCTGACACAGGCTCTGAGCAGCTCTCCAGACAGAGGGCCTGGCTGCCTGGTCCCCCAGGTGTGAGAGAGAGGGAGGGGCGTGACTCACCCAGCACCATGGTCATGAACTTCTCCTCGACCCCCACCTCCAGCAGCAGGGGTGGCACGTAAGTGATGCCAGCAGCCAGGCACACCTCCAGGCCGAAGGTCAGCAAGTTGACCAGCAGGAGCTGGGCTTTCCGATGCCGAAGCAGGCGGCTCACCCACAGCCTCTGGACCATGGTGGGCCCGGCGGGAAGGGGAGGAGGGTCTGTTCACACTCTCCGCGGCTGCTCTGTCTCAGCCCTGCTTCGGAAGCTGAGGCCTCTCCTCCTTGCGGCCACCGACTGCCTAGGATTCAGCCCGACGCCCATTTCTGCCAGTTCTCTGGGGCAGGTGCAGTGTCTCGGCCTGGGCTGACCACCAGTCACCTGCAGCACCTCGATGGGGGCACATGTCATCACCGCTCAGCTCCTAAAGGGCAGGACAATCACAGGCACGGGAGTCAGGAAGGCTGGCTCCCTCCTTCCCAGCCAATAGCGTGGCTGGACCCTTAGGTGCCACCACCCCTAGCTGCCCAGTCAGGAAATGTAACAGTCACACACACTTCCTGACATAACTAATATGATAAAATATGCGTTTTTAAGCCTCAGCACACCCCAGAGCGGAATGTAACAGGTGTCAGTTGCTTTCTATTCTGGAACAGCTCTGCAGTTACCTTGCCTGCTAGGCTGGAAATCAAAAAGTCAAGTCAAGCCGGGCGCTGGTGGCTCACGCCTGTAATCCTAGCTACTCAGGAGGCTGAGATCTGAGGATCAAGGTTCAAAGCCAGCCCGGGCAGGAGAGACCATGAGACTCCTATCTCCAATAAACCACCGGAAAACCGGAAGTGGCGCTGTAGCCCAAGTGGTAGAGCGCTCGCCTTGAGCTGAAGAGCTGAGGGACAGCGCCCAGGCCCAGAGTTCAAGCCCCAAGGCCCACAAAAAAAAAAAGTCAAGTCAAAGCAGCTGATGTGCCCAGGTCTGGCCAGCAAGGGTCCCCTGGAGACCCTCGGCCAGGCTGCATTTGTTTGCTTTTCTCTCCCCTTCCAAAGCTGGCTCTGCTCAATTCCCCTCTGTCACCTGCTGGCCAGAGCCCCGACCCTCACCCCATGGCTGCACACCGCAGTCTCCACCCCTAGGACAAGACTGAGGAGAAGGAGGAAAAGCTGTGGTTTGTTGGGTTTCAACCTGTCACCCAAACACACCGAGGGCCTCAAATCTTCTCAAGTTCAACGTTCCTGGGGAAGAAACAGTCGACGCCCACACAGGGCCGTCCAACCGTGACAGGGCGGTCGGCACTGCCAGGTCCCAGGAGCATGAAACCACACCACCTGGCAGCACAGGTGGTGACGCCAATGACCCCCTAAGCTGGCGGGGTGCCCACCACATCCTGGGCAGCCTTTCCCTCTCCTGGATGGCTCCACTCTCTGCAGAGTAGAGTTCTCACCATTTAGCCGGCCAACTGGGCTTCTCAAGTACAGGGGGTGAACCATCATATATAAGTGTGTGTGTGTGTGTGTGTGCACGTGCACGCACGCACACGCACATGCGCACCCATGCCCATCCATCCACCCATGCTGTGCCCCCCAGCCGAGTGGCCTCAAGGATCTGCCTTCCTAACACCAGCACCTGCTGGTAAAGAAGAAATATAACTCAGCTGTGGAGAAGGGGTCCAGAGAGCAGCCTCCACACACATTGAGGCTGGTGTTGAGCCACTTGAGCCATACCTCCACTTCCAGCTTTTTGCTGGTTAACTGGAGATAAGAGATTTGTAGATTAGTCATCTGTCAGAACTGGCTTGGAACTAGATCCTCAAATCTCAGCCTCCTGAGTAGCCTGGATTACAGGCATGAGTTGGGGAGGGGGACAGGGAGAAGAGGCCTAATAAGACAAAAAGACCCAATGTGTCCTTGACCCCCACAAAAGAAAATAAACAGAGGCAGCAGACAGGGCTTCCCCCGTCTCCTGGCTGCACGAGTCTCCCCCTTTCTTCCCAATTCAACCCCACAAGTCATACTGAAGCATATGAAGCATAGCAACAAGAGAGCAGGAGCAGAGATCACAGTGGCCAAGGGCTGGCTGGCTCCCATCTCCTGAGCCGGGAAGAACAGAGCCACCACCACCCCCCTTTTCCACCCATCCCCTCTGCCAATCTCAGTTTTGCAAGATAAAAGGCATAAAAGGCGCTTCAACTTCTTTTATCTTTTCAAGTAACACCAAGCCCCATGGGGCCTTGCGTGTTACAAAGCGTGTCCTGGGTGCTCTCTAAAGCTGTGTGCTTCAGAAAAATCAGGCGGCCATCAATCCCGGATAAGATCGGTCCACTCCGTAACGGCCAAAGCTCTGGGGCTTTTGCAGCTGGTAGATCAGGAAGGAAGAGATAAGGCTGAGGCAACAGGCAACCTCCAACTGCAAGTCTCCAAGCTTTGCAAAGGAGGAGAGGGGACTCTTAATGGAGAGGTCAGGAGGAGGGGGTAAAACACTGATCCACAACGTCCCCCAAAGGAAGGCACTGGTACCAGACCTCAGTCTTAGCTGGACTGCTGTAGGTTCAACTTGAGCACTACCCATCCTCCCAGAGGGGAAGGGAGGAGGGACGCAGGGACCCAGGGACAGAGCTACCCAAACTAGAGGAATGGGCTGTGGGTGGCAGCTTCCCAGGCATTGCCCTCCCCACCCTCAACACTCGTGCACAGCACTGTGATTAAGAGAACAGGTCCTCCCTGAGCAAACAGACTTTCACCACACTTGCTCCCATTCTCCAAGAGTTGCCACCCCCTCCCGTTGGGAATAGATTCCAGATCCCAGCAAGCCCTGAATCACCGCCCACCCCAGCCCAGTTCCCTGTCCTCTCAGCGAGAGCAGGACCTTCTGAACCAACGGAGGAAAAGAGATGAACTGTCCCCCATCGTCCTACAGGCCAGTAGCTTCTGGATAGCCTCCTCCTTCCTGGATTGCCTTTGTCCCACACGCACACACCACCCAGGTTTTCTACCAGATACCTGAAGTCTGGAGAGGAAGTGGGCTGCTCCCAGCTCTGCCCAGCACCCCTCTCTGCTCTAAGGCTGCAGAGCCCGTCCTCCCTCTTTTCCAATCTACTCTGTCCTGGGGGTCCAGACACTCTTGACAACCCTAGACTTAACTCTTCCAAGCCCAGAATTACCTGAGGAATTCCAAGCTCAGAGAAACATTCTCCCCGCCAAAACCCCATCTCTCCCCACTTCCTCCCTGCTCCAGATCCTCAGGGTGGAAGAGTCTACTGTCTCCCTGAGTCAGCCAGCCCCTCTAGGGCCTTCTTCTCTGAGGCACCAAAGAAGTCCAGGCTCCAAGAGGTCAGAGAACAAGCGGTCCAGCACCACTTTCCTAGCCCAGGGCACATTTCTCAGCACAAAGCTTGAAAGCCACAGATCTTGGCTGCCTCCACCACTCTGCCCCGTGTCCCCTCTCCAAGCCTGGGGAGCTAGGACAAAGTCTAACTCTCTCCACTCCAGTCCCAGAGACCCTATGGACCCAAATCCTCCAGCCTTACCACTCCAGAAGCAGTATCCGTCTGGTAAACAGATCAACCAGGACAGCCAGCCTCAGAAGGCTCACTTGGAGAGGAGATGGCAAGAAGAGGAGGAAAATGGAGGGACTGACCCCTGGGAAAGGAAAGCCGGGAGCCACCTTCTCCCAAGTTCCAAACATCTCCCCTCTTCTCTGGGCACCCCAATAGTTAGACAGCCAGAAGCCCAAGGGAAACCTAAGATGTATGGGAACATTCCCTGGAATACCTCCCATGCCACACACACACACACACACACCCTTTACACACACACCCTTTACACACACACACACACACACACACACACACACACACCCTTTATCCCTGGGGAATGGAACTGAAGTCTCGAGGGACAAGGGAAACGTTTACCTTCTGAGTGAATGGATGGGGGGCTGGAATGTGGCTTAGTGGTACAGTGCCTGCCTAGCATGCATGAAGCCTTGGGTTCGATTCCTCAGTACCCTATACACAGAAAAGGCCAGAAGTGGAACTTTGGCTCAAGGGGTAGAGCCCTAGCCTTGAGCTAAAGCAGCTCAGGGACAGTGCCCAGGCCCTGAGTACAAGCACCAGAACTAGCGGGGGGTGGGGGGTGGGGGGAGAGAAAAGAGAAAAAGAGTGGATGGCTGTAGGCAGGGGTTGGGTGTGTTAGAACTGAGGACAGCTGAAACCCAGCTCTCCTGCCCACCCCCTACCCTGAGCCAAACCCCAGCAGCTACTTCTTGGGCTCAAAGGCAGCAAGCGGCTTAGAAGGACTCTCCTGGCCCGGGATGGCGCACTTCAGATCGGACCCCAAGGGAGCAGGCCATGTGAGGAAATCAAACTGATCAACAGGAACAAACTTGGCCTGAACTTTGTCCAAAATTCAAAAGACAGAGTGGAGGAGGCGGAGGAAAAGGCGACCCACACCCACCGCCCGCCTGCTGGAGCCCTCTCACTCTCTCTCTTAGCTCCCTAAGGGAAGGGAGGGTCAGAAGGAGGCATAAAGAGGCCTTTGAGGGCTGTCAAAGGGGCTCCTGCCACGCCTCTCTGCTGAGGTGGAGCTGGGGGGGGTAGATTCCCTTCAGTGACAGGCAGAGACTAGAGGGAGCGGGAGTGGAGGGCAGCCCCCACCAGGGGCCAGTGTCAGGCAGCAATTCTACGGGCTCTTTATGCGAGGCCCGCGTCCCCACACCCCTCCCAGGCACATCAAACGGCCGCAGCCCCCACCCTGACCCTGCCAGCACCGCGACCCCGGCCTTGCCTCCACTCACAAAGACCTGGGCCGTTTCTCACACGCTCCTCCAGGGCGGGAGGCACTGAGCATGCTCCGCCCTTCACAGCCACCCGCTGCCCTCCCCAGAGGTGGGGAGCCCAGCAAAGGAGGGGTGGGGGTGGGGTGGGGGGCTAGCCGGTGGCAGGCAATGACTCAGCTGAAGGAAAGGGGTGGGGTTACCATGCCAAGACTGCCACTTGCCACCACCACCACCACCACCACCACCCAGGACTGGGGCACAGAATGGGGATCAGTTCTTCCCCCAAACTGGACTAGATCTCAGCATCTCTCCCTAAGCTGAACTCTCCCGGGCTGTGCCCAGCACGACCTCAGGTCTGGCAGTTCAACGAACCCAGCACCCCGTGCGCTATCGCCTTGCCCCAGTCCCCAGAGAACCATCCAATGCCCAGGCTTCGCCTACTGAACCTGGCGCACTGCACTGGGCCCCGCTGGCCGGCGGCGCTTATCTCAGGGGGTCCTGAGCTGCGAGACCAGGCAGCCAGGAGGTCTGGAAACCAGTGTCCTGCAGAAGCTGAGAGCCCCACACCCCAGCCAGGAGAACGGGGCAGGGCGGGGGGGGGGGCAGCGTGGCAGGAGGTTCATTACCTTCCAACAACATTCAGTCTTTGATTGTCTG